GTGCGAACAAAGCTTTTAGAGCCGCCAAATCACCAGCATTTCATCCAACCAATGCATACAAATGATTCATATCAATGGAATAGTAAATAGAATCTTACGGATGAAGGTCAAAGTCACAGATGGATGGAATTGAAGTTTGGTGCGGGTTGGTGTTTGAGATTGGTGTGAGGTGGGTTGCGTGAGTTGTGTGTGGAAGAATTCCTTTGATGTGGGTCGGGTTTGTGTGGGTAGATTTGAGTAAATTGAATTGAGCGGGTGTTCTTGGTGTGAAGGGAGTTGGTGTGAAGCGCGTTGGTGTGGGATGCGTTGTATGAGTTCATTGCGAAATGAATTTGAGTGGGGCGAGCGGAGTTGGAGGTGAATTGGTGTCAGGTAAGTTGGATGGATTTGGTTTTGTAAGATGGGTTTATGTGAAGTGAGTTCGATTAGTTGAGTTGTGTGTGTTGAATTCGCGGTGAATTGAATTCGTTGAATTTTGTACGTCTATTTTCCAATTTTATATACGAATATAGAATTCATTGTGATCGCGTGGGGGGGGGAGTAAAATTGTATCCGCAGAAAACGAATTACGAAAATATTTTTTTGAAATGGATTCGAAGACGATTCTTAGATAAAGATGTAGACGAAGATGTATCGCCGGTAGGCGAATGCCTATCACCCGTAGACGAATTCTTAGACGAAGATGCGTTTTATGCGGACGAATTCTTTTGAAGATTTCTAGCGAAAAAGGACAAGGAAGGAATAGTCCAAAATAAAAGAAGAATTTGAAACGGAAAAATACCGGATACGAAAAGAATAGACTAGAAATCGAAAACAAGCTAGATTTGAAAGGAAGAGCTCGAAGCGAAAAAAGATTTGAAATGGCCAAATACCGGATACGGAGGAAATAATTTCGAAATGGAAACAAAAAAAAAAAAAAAATTGAAATAAAAAATAATGGTTAGTTGTAATTCGCCGGCAGCTTTTGAACCTGATCTTAATCTTTTGATTGAAAAAAAATGATATAATTTAAGCGCGGAAACCATTTGATTTGGATTCGCGTGCGCGCTCGCCGCCGTAAGTACCTCTATAATATTTAATTTCCGGCGCGTGGACCCAAAATATTGTCGGAGCTTAGGTGATATTAGGTGTCGATTGCGATTGTTGCAAATCTGATCTTTGGCGGGGGGGAAGAGCAGGCATAAAAGAACCAAATTATGGGGGGTTTGATGTTAATCCAATGTTGCTTGTTACAGGGGTCTGATTCCTGAATAGTAGTTAATATCCAAGAAATACATACCATTATATTTAGTGTTTTATACCAGGTTATGATGGCTACGCGGAGAAGGCACAAGTGCACAAATTCTTATACAGGGTTGCGATTGGGTGGGTGGGTGGGTTCCAAATCAAAACATCTTCTTCGTTTCTCATATTACAAGACATAGAAGATCTCGGACCCAGAAAATCTAGGAAGACATATATCCTAACGGAAATCACACATACCCCCCCCCCCCCAGGCTATGAATGCTATGATGCTATACGGAGCAGACACAAGTACACAAGCTCCGGGTTTGATCATAATTTAATATTGTTTGTTTTATTTAAATTCGGGTGCGCGCCCACAGTTTATAGTCTCAATTTGTTTCAGCATTGGCGGATCCTATTTTCCCTGGAAAAAAAAGATTCCACCACCGTAGACCCCAAACAATTTGTGTTTTTCAAAACCGTAATTAGAGCTTGCGACGTTTAGAGCTGGGAGACAAAGGATTGCAAGGCAGAGGCGGCCACAGCTGGGTGACGAATAAGTAAAGGGACGGACACAGCAATCAGGATTGGGAGACAAATATAAAATTAAGGATTGTAAGGCAGAGGCAGACATAGAGAGTTGGGAGATAAATATAAAGGTAGAGGCGGATACAGCAGCCTAGAGCTGGGAGACAAATGTAGATACAGGGAGACAAATGTAAAGGATTGCAAGCGATACGCAGCCCAGAGCTCGCAAACAAGTGCAAAGGATTGTAGGGAGGAGTAGTTGGGAGACAAATGTGAAGGGTTGTAAGCGAGAGGGGGAGAGCGGAGGCACATGACATGCAAAGTAAAGAAGGAAGACAAGGCGGAAATAATGACCAACAAGAAATAATAAGGGAGACAAAAGGAAACAGAAGGAAGACAAGACGGACACAGTGATCACAAAGAGACAAGAGACAAAGGGAGACAGAAGGGAGATATGCGGACACAATGAAGGGAGACAAGAAGGCAGACAAAGACAAAGAAACAAGAAAGGAGATAAAAAGAAATAGAAAAAAGATAAAGCGGATACAATGATCCACAAGAAGGGAGACAAGACCGGAATCAAAGGGAAATAGAAGGGACGAGGCGGACACAATGACTAGCAAGAAAGGAGACAAAAGGAAACAGAAGGGAAATAAGGACCGCCAAGAAGGTGGGACACGGTGACCAACAAGCAAGGGGACCGCCAAGAAGGTGGGACACGGTAACCAACAAGCAAGGGACACGCAGTCCGGCAGCAAGGCGGACATTCTTAAAAAGCATTTAGAATTCGTAACAGTAACCTGTTAAAAACAAATGAATAGAAACGCTGGAAAGGGGAAAAGGGCGGATGCCAATAGTGCAGGCACCGAACTTGGCAAACCAAAGTAAACAAACCACATGGGAAACAAATAAATAGAAATGCTGTATGGCCAGCGGAAAAAGGCGGACACCAGCTGCAGAGAAACAAAAATAAAGAAATCATTTTTAAGGCAAATGAATTGAAATGTTACATGGCCAGCGGAAAAGAATTAAGAAACCCTACGTAACGGCAAATTGTTTGGAGAATGAAGAGAAATATTGCATCGCCAACGGAAAAGAGCGGACACCAGCAGTAACCCACCTCGGAGACAAATAAATAGAAAAAAATGTAACATGGCCAACGAAAAAGGGCGAATACCAGCAGCGACACAAAGGGCGAATACATCTTAAGAAAGAATTAAGAACCCCTAACAGTAAATTGGTTGAAGAAATATCTAGATCTATCCAAGAAATTATCGGAACGATATAAGGCATCGATATTTATTAAAAATATTTTTTCTATAATTAATAAATATAAAAAAATAAATGATTTCGTTAAAAAAATATATATAACTAAAATTAAATAAATTCAATATTATTCGATAAAATACAAAATTTAATTAAAAATTTATTATATAAAAATATATTAAAATATCAAAATTATTTATAATATATATTATAAATATATTAAGAAATATATAAATAAATTTGCATTATTTAAAATAATAAATATATATAATATTATTTATTTTAATATATAAATATTTAAAATCTATAATAATTATATTAATCTATTCTAAAATTTATTATTAAACTTAAAATTTATAATTAAATATCTATATATATATATAAAATTAGAATTCATAAAAATCAAAATCGAAATATAATATTAAAATATTTATTTATTTATTCATTCTTTTATAATAAATATATTTATTCCCAAGCCTCTATTTCGTCCAATTAAATATGTTTATATCGTTCATTCGCAAAATATATAATCTTCATCATTTAATTCTTCTTAATATAATTAAAGTTATATCATCGCTAATTCCTTCCGAAATTTCCCTCAGGACCACTTTATTATGCTAATCATGCATTATTCGACATCCATTGCATCATTCGTATCATCAGACCCCATTTTCATTATTTTTCTAACCCTCGTTTTAAAATAATCTCCCCCATCAAGCTCCGGATTCACCCTCTCAAATGGTGCCTTTTCGTGCCCCCCCCCCCCCATATTCCCTTAATTTATTTCGTTCGTTCTAAGAGCTCAAGCCTAGCCTATCGGCTGGCTTTCGCAATAATTTATTCAATTAATTAAAATGTTTAATATTATATGTTAGGCATGGGCCGCACTGGGCAATCTTTTGCCGTCATGTCTTTTCGTTGTGTCAGGTTTGATTGCAGTGTTCGAACGCAGACCCGCTCGCTTGCAAGGATGAAATGGAAGATTCCTCTCCGCTGCATAGACACTAGCGCTACTCATCGCAGGCCCCTACACATGCACACCCCCGGAAGGATATGGCGTGTTAAGACATGGAAAGTTAGCCTATGGGCGTAGATGGCATAGTTCTTATGCATGTTGCACTCCTGAGCGTCAAGTCGCGGTGGGGTCAAGCGGGAACGCATTCTGTTGTTGGATACAGCAGTGGAATTGGTGCAGGTGTGGCATGTTCGGACCCATGTCCGACACTAGGGGCTCCTGGCCTTAGTTACTACATAGGAGTCTCAGCAAGGACGGGACAGTCGATGGCGCGTGCGTGAAGATCACTGCACAGACCCTGTCAACACTGCAGTCCAGCGCGAGGGCCCAGCGTCGCCCTCTGTAACTGCCCTTTGACGCACCCAGGACAAAGAGAAAGAGAAAAGAAAAGAAAAAGGGTCAAAGGTCTAAAGGAAAAAAACCGAAGGTGTAGCACCCAGGATTGATGTGGGCACATCATCCTCCCGTTGCTCCCAAAGATGCCTATGGATCATGACGCGAAGGGCATGGAGTTGGTGCGGTCACGCTCAATGCTGAGATGTTAAGCCCCTCCACTCCAACCTAGAAGCAATGGCCTCCAACCTACTAGCGATGGCCCTTCACATGCCCGCAATCAAAACGAACGTGGTGTTGCCTTGCTCTGCAGTTTGCCTGTCGCATTGATGAGTCTCATCCAACAATGTGTGGTGCAAGAGGTGCCAAGGCTATGCCACGGGTGCTGAGCCTGAGCAACCCTCCAGAATGGACATTTGCGCGCACCTCTTCCATCTAGAGTGTGATTTGTACTATGAACTCCTGTGGTTGTTGTTGTTGTTGTTGTTGTTGTTGTTGTTGCTGCTGCTAAACACAACCTTTTCGTTTGACGTGCACAGCAGCTGTGCTAATTCCAAAGACCGCCGTGCTAAAACTGCCTGTTCCAACACATGTTCCATGCGCCAAACCAACACCCAAAGCTCTTGCCACCATATCAATCTTGAACAGTCTCACGTGGCAAATGTTTGCCAGAGCAAGTCGTTATAGACTTTTCCAACGCACTTCTTTCGAGTTTATTTTGCGCTTTTCCTAATGCCTCCGCCAGCTGCATCAGCTTCGGTGTCGTGCCTTGGCGGTTTGAGCAAAAATATTCCCCAAATGTCCAGAACTGAGTGATATTGAAAATGCACTTTAAGAGCAAAGGGGGCTCATGGCACATGGCAGGATCAAGGAATACACACCCATCAGGATCATGCTTTTTCCAATGAGCTTAGAAGGATGTTGTGCAAACGTGGTGCGGGAACGGCCGCCAGCGTTTGCCTTTTAGACCTCCATCACACAATGCCGAGCTCTTTGCGCGACCTATTCAATGGTCACAATCTTTGAGCCAGGTAGGTGTTTTTTTGCGTCTTTAGGTTGGAGGCCATTGCTATTAAATTGGAGGCCACCGCTAGTAGGTTGGAGGCCATCTCTATTAGGTTGGAGGCCGTCGCTACCAGGTTGGAGGCCATTGCTATTAAATTGGAGGCCATCGCTACTAGGTTGGAGGCCATTGCTATTAGGTTGGAGGCCATCGCTACGAGGTTGGAGGCCATTG